GCCCACCGGGGGGGGTCACAGCGGCGCGGAGGAGTGCGTTATTGCCAATAAACCATGAAAAACAGCGTTCTTGGCTTGAGGGGTGGAAGCCAAACCCTCCAGTGCCCGCAGACCTGCAGGGGCGAGGAGCCCTCCTGGTGCTGGGCCGTGCACCAGAGCTTGTGGGGTCCCATGGATTTCAGCGGGCGACTGCAGGAGCAACCCCCAGGACCCCCGTGTGGGTTGCAAGGCTCATTCCCCAAATCCCAGCCACCATGGAGCACCCCGGATCCCACACAGCGACTGCTCAGCCGCCTCCTGCATCCCCGCCAGCCCCGGCTCTGCCTTTTTCATGCATCCCCTCGCTATTGATGATGTTTTCTCCCTTGTCACGGTGGAGGAGGAGGCAGCAGACGAGGATAACGAGAGCTGCGGTAGAGGCAGAGCGTGCGGCAAGGGTAATGGGGCTGAAAGCAAACAACGTCTGCGCTCTCTGAGCCCACGCGGCGTCTCCTGCTCCGTCCCCGATAGCGTGGGACGCTGCCCTGTGGAGGGAACCTGCCAAATAAAGTCCCCTTTCGCTGCTCTGCCCTTCAAACCTCTTTGCTACTGGTAGAAATGGTCCTGATGTGGCCTGGACTCTGCGCATCCTTGGCATCCGAGCTGCGGGAAGGGACGTGGTTGTGAAGGGGACCAAGGCTTTGGCTCTGAGCTGCTCTGAAAGGCCCAGGGGCTGAATCCTGGGTGGTTTTCCCCTCATTTTTCTGTGTGGAGCAAAGACCTTTAGGGATTGAGGAAACGCCTCTCGCAACGCTGCTTTAACAGCAAGGAGCAAAACCCCGCGTGTTGTAGCCCCCCATAAACGCCCCTCTTCTCCTCCTGCCGTTTCCACCTTCACCCTGAGCAGGATTTGAAGCCAAACACTTTAAATTGCTCCAAAATGCACCAGGAAGCTTCCCTGAGCGTCTCCGGGATCTCCCCTCAGCGCCCGATGCCGCGGTGCCGTTTGCCTTTGCTCCCCAAAGGCTTTGGCTGCGTTTGGTCGGAAACAGCCACTGGTTTTTGAAGCTGGGGGAGAAGAAAGGGTTGGGGTGAAGCTGTTAACCCCATGGGTGCCACACTGGGGTGAAGCTGTTAACCCCATGGGTGCCGTGTTGGGGTGAAGCTTTTAACCCCATGGGTGCCACACTGGGGTGAAGCTGTCAACCCCGGCAGTGCCATGGGTGCCGTGTTGTAGTGGTGGTGGTGTTGGGGTGAAGTTGTTAACCCCATAAGTGCCACGTTGTGGTGTTGGGGTGAAGCTGTTAACCCCAACGGTGCCGTATTGGGGTGAAGCTGTTAACCCCATCAGTGCCACATTGTGGTGTTGAAGTGAAGCTGTTAACCCTATGGGTGCCGTTTTGGGGTGAAGCAGTTAACCCCATGGGTGCCATGTTGGGGGAGTGAAGCTGTTAACCCCATGGGTGCTGTGTTGGGGTGAAGCTGTTAACCCTGGCACTGCCACGTTGTGGTGTTGGGGTGAAGCTGCCAACGCCGACAGGGACAACAGTGCCGTGGGTCCCGTGTTGTGGTGTTGGGGTGAAGCTGTTAACCCCATGGGTGCTATGTTGGGGTGAAGCTGTTAACCCCGTGGGTGCTGTTTTGGGGTGAAGCTGGTAACCCCATGGGTGCCACACTGGGGTGAAGCTGTCAACCCCGGCAGTGCCATGGGTGCCGTGTTGTAGTGGTGGTGGTGTTGGGGGTGAAGTTGTTAACCCCATAAGTGCCACGTTGTGGTGTTGGGGTGAAGCTGTTAACCCCGACAGTGCTATGTTGGGGTGAAGCTGTTAACCCAATGGGTGCCACATTGGAGTGAAGCTTTTAACCCCGTGGGTGCCATGTTGTGTTGTTGGGGGTGAAGCTGTCAACGCCGACAGTGCCGTGGGTCCCGTGTTGTGGTGTTGGGGTGAAGCTGTTAACCCCATCAGTGCCACGTTGTGGTGTTGGGGTGAAGCTGTTAACCCCATCAGTGCCACGTTGTGGTGTTGGGGTGAAGCTGTTAACCCCATCAGTGCCACGTTGTGGTGTTGGGGTGAAGCTGTTAACCCCATCAGTGCCACGTTGTGGTGTGGGGGTGAAGCTGTTAGCCCCAACGGTGCCGTATTGGGGTGAAGCTGTTGGTGCCGTGGGTGCTGGGTTGGGGTGAAGCTGTTAACCCCATGAGTGCCATGTTGGGGTAAAGCTGTTAACCCCATGAGTGCCACGTTGTGGTGTTGGAGTGAAGCTGTTAACCCTATGGGTGCCGTTTTGGGGTGAAGCAGTTAACCCCATGAGTGCCATGTTGGGGTAAAGCTGTTAACCCCATGAGTGCCACGTTGTGGTGTTGGAGTGAAGCTGTTAACCCTATGGGTGCCGTTTTGGGGTGAAGCAGTTAACCCCATGGGTGCCGTGTTGGGGTAAAGCTGTTAACCCTGGCAGTGCCATGTTATGTTGTTGGGGTAAAGCTGTTAACCCCATCAGTGCCACGTTGTGGTGTTGAGGTGAAGCTGTAACCCTATGGGTGCCGTGTTGTGGTGTTGGGGTGAAGCTGTAAACCCCATGGGTCCCATGTTGGGGTGAAGCTGTTAACCCCATCAGTGCCACGTTGTGGTGTTGAGGTGAAGCTGTAACCCTATGGGTGCTGTTTTGCGGTGTTGGGGTGAAGCTGTAAACCCCATGGGTCCCATGTTGGGGTGAAGCTGTTAACCCCATGGGAGCCACGTTGTGGTGTTGGGGGTGAAGCTGCCAACGCCGACAGGGACGACAGTGCCGTGGGTCCCGTGTTGTGGTGTTGGGGGTGAAGCTGTAACCCTGTGGGTCCCATGTTGGGGTAAAGCTGTTAACCCCATGGGTGCCACGTTGGGGTGAAGCTGTTAACCCTTCCAGTGCCATGTTATGTTGTTGTGGTGAAGCTTTTAACCCCATGGGTGCCGTGTTGGGGTGAAGCTGTAACCCCATGGGTCCCATGTTGGGGTGAAGCTGTTAACCCCATGGGTGCTGTGTTGCGGTGTTGGGGTGAAGCTGTAACCCCATGGGTGCCACGTTGGGGTGAAGCTGTTAACCCTTCCAGTGCCATGTTATGTTGTTGTGGTGAAGCTTTTAACCCCATGGGTGCCGTGTTGGGGTGAAGCTGTAACCCCATGGGTCCCATGTTGGGGTGAAGCTGTTAACCCTGGCAGTGCCATGTTATGTTGTTGGGGGTAAAGCTGTTAACCCCATCAGTGCCACGTTGTGGTGTTGGGGTGAAGCTGTTAACCCCGACAGTGCTATGTTGGGGTGAAGCTGTTAACCCAATGGGTGCCACATTGGAGTGAAGCTTTTAACCCCGTGGGTGCCATGTTGTGTTGTTGGGGGTGAAGCTGTCAACGCCGACAGTGCCGTGGGTCCCGTGTTGTGGTGTTGGGGTGAAGCTGTTAACCCCATCAGTGCCACGTTGTGGTGTTGGGGTGAAGCTGTTAACCCCATGGGTCCCATGTTGGGGTGAAGCTGTTAACCCTTCCAGTGCCATGTTATGTTGTTGGGGGTGAAGCTTTTAACCCCGTGGGTGCCGTGTTGTGGTGAAGCTGTTAACCCCGGCGGCGCCGTGCTGTGTTATTGGGTAGAAAGCGTTGGCCATCAAAGAGGGCGAGAGCAGACGGCGTGGGATGTGTTACCCGTGCAGGAAAGAGCCGAAAAACGCGGGGGTGTGGGAGCCGCTGCCCCGGGTGAGGCTTCCTCTGCCAAACAGATCCTGCCCGATAACGCCGGGGTGAACCCTCCACTCCCGAAATGCATTTGAAAAGGAAGAGGTGAAGGTTTTTGGGTGCCCCCGCGCGCTTCAAAGCCGGCGTTTGAAGTCTGTCTACAAAGCCCGGGGACGCCGAGAGGGCTCCGCTCGCGGGGAACGGGGAGGAAACAACCACAGCTCATCCGGCCCTGCTGGGATCTCCGAGCACCGCCTCTGCCCCCAGCCCCGGGGTCTTCCTGGGGTCCGAACATGGGGGAAATGGCTTTTCCTTCCCTTTGAAATCGGCTGTTCCTCGGTGCTGAGCCTCCCTGCCAGGGAAACGGGGGTTTCTCCCGTTTGTAGGTGTCTGTGTGATTTCCTGTGGTGTCAGGAGAGGCGCCCTGGGTGGTTTCTGTGTCAATCACCACCACCCCAAAACTCCCTTTGCATCCCCCCCAGTCCCATCACCAGCATTAGGGAGGGAAGATTTCTGCATCCGGAGCATTTCTGACCACAAACTTGGGGATTTTTCTCTCCCAGACATAAAATAAAGCCGTGGATGGGATTCGGCCGATATTTTCAGGTATATTTAGCGCCTGGCGAGGCGCTGATCAGATCCCAAACTGCAAATCCTGGCTGCTAACGCTGAGTGCACCCAGGAAGGGCACATTTGGGGCTCAGCCCCGCTCTGTCAGACCCTCATGGTCCCCATTGCCAGGTCCAAGATGTCCCCGTTGTGTCCCTTCCTCCGTGGAGGACCAGGTTGGCTTTGCCATTTGGGGACATCGGGGCGGCTCGGCCCTTGTAGGGATGGAGGTGGTGCTGTAGGGGGGGGACCT